TCTAGACATGCACACCCTTGCCAAGCCATAAAGAGCTTGCCTGTGCGAGTGCGAAAGGCTGCCTGGATTCGGATCCTTGCTGGACTGTGTTCTGGCTGTGTTGCCTTGCACAAGTCATTAGCCACTCTGCCTTAGCCTTCTCACCTGTAAAATGGAGTAAGAATAGTTCCTCTCTCCTCCTCTCTGGCATTATAAAGATCAGGTGAATTAAAAGAGATGCTTAGAACAACTAAGTGCTCAGGAAATGCAGCTCTTTTTGTCGTTGTTGTTAAACCCCACCCAAGGATATTTTTCCCATTGATTTTTAGAGAGAGTAGGAGGGAGAGAGGGAGAGAAACATCGATGTGAGAGAGACACATTGATTGGTTGTCTCCCACAATCTCCCTGACCGGGGCCGGGGATCGAACCTGCAACCCAGATACTTGCCCTTGACCAGGAATCAAACCAGCGACCCTGCCGATGTGACCTGCGTGAGGTCCCTCAAGTCATGGGCTATCACATTAAGGAGTTCAGCCACTGTCCCAAATGTAACAGGGCTTTGTCACTGGGGCTTAAGCAGGGGTGTGGCATGACCAGAGCAAGACCGCCCTGGCAGGGCTCAGAGATGGAGGGATTAGAGGGACAGGTGGGCCAAAGAGGAGGCTGAGCCAGGGGTCGGGTCTAGGTCTAGAGGTGACGCTGCCAGGTCACGGGTGGGGGTGGTTTCGACTGCGGTCACCATCATGGAATGTGTGGAATGCGGGCTGCTCTTTTTTTCCTCTTTAAGTGGCTGCCAGGAAGTTTAGAATGGAATTCTGCTTGTTGCTTTTTTCATTAATGTGACTGTCTCCCATACAGCCTTGCATATGCAAAGGGCCTAGAGTTCTGGAGCCACATGCACCTGAGTTTGAATCTTGGCCGCGCCAACCACCAGCCGCACTTCATAACCTCCCTGGGTCTGTTTTCTAATCTGCAGACTGTGGAACATAACACCTGTCTGCTCTCCAGGTGATGAGAGGTGAGGCTTGGGGAGTGCCTGGCAGTGTCTGAAATATAGTTTCTTAACCCTTTTCAATATGCTTCTTGACTATTTTAGAGTTATCTGGAATGTCAACAATTAGGAGGACAGTGGGAGGTTTTTCATCCTAGTCGTGGTCTGTGTCCACAGTTTTTTTGGTAACCGTGGGCACTGGGAGTTGCTTGGAGAGGGAGCCCCCAGGTGCAGCAGGGGTGTGGTGGGGGTGGAGAGCAGAGACGGGGGGTTATTGGGGAGGTGAGGGAACAAATGCAGCTCGGAAATTGGAGACCTGAGAGGCTGAAAAGCCCTCCCATCTCTCCTCCCTTGTCTCTTATCCCCCAATCTGCCCTGGCTGCCTCCTGCTTCCCGCTCTGCACCTGACGGGATCCGGCCTCAGGCCGCCTGGTCCCCAGCTGGTGCTGTTTCTCTCTCCTGCGATCTGACCCAGGCCTGTCTCTCCTTTACTCCTTCCACCCCTGCCAGTTGCTCGCTCCTCATTCCAGCTCCCAGGGCCCGTACTCGAATCCACCCTGGACCATCAGACCATCTCCACCTGGTGTAAGGTGGCCCCTTACTCACGGTCAGCTCAGGTCTCATCAGAAATGGCGGGGACAGCTGGGTTCCCTGGGCCTACCTGCTCATAGGGCCCTCTCAGCTTTCTAGCCTCCAGCATCTCAGCCTGTTTTTTCCGGCCTGGGAAATCCGAGTCTGGAAAAATAAGAGCTTCTGTTGTGAAAGGAACCCAAAGGATTATCTGGTCCAGAGATGTCACCAGGTACCAGCTATGATAAATTGGGACCTACCTACAGAAGCTAAAGATGCACCTAAGCTCCAGAGGAAGGAGGGCCATGATCAGTTAGCAATGTCTGCCATGCATGGGTGCAATCGATTAGCAATGTCTGCCATGAGTGCAGTTTTATGAATGCCAGATATTGCCATCCATGATCTGGTCCAACTTTTCAGAGTCAAGGGTGTTGAAAAATAAATAAAATTTTATATATCCCAAGCATCATCTCTCATCACCTGGAAAGGACACTTTGAGGCAGGTGTTATGTTCCACAGCATGCAGATTAGGAAACTGAGGCTCGGGGAGGTTAGAAATGCAGCTGCTGGTGGGCACAGCCAAGATTCATAAAAGTCAAGTGCAATATTTTCCCATGAGACCACATCAGGTGACGTCTGGGCACAGGATAAGATAAAGCTGGCTCCTGTAAGTGAAAAATGTATTTCCTTTCCGCCCCTCCACCTTTCCTCATGAAGGAATGCTCTGTCTGGTGATGGCATGTCTTTTTTTTTTTTTTAAATATCTTTATTGATTTCAGAGAGAGGAAAGGAGAGGGAGAGAGAGAGAGAAACATCAATGATGAGAGAGTCATTGATCGGCTGCCTCCTGCACGTCCCCGACTGGGGATCGAGCCCGCAACCCGGGCATGTGCCCTGACCGGGAATCGAACCCCGATTGCCTGGATCCTAGGTTGAAGCTCAATCGCTGAGCCACGCCTGGCTGGGCGAGGTGCTGGCATGTCTTCAACAGCCTCCGACACTTGGTAATCTCCCCCCCCTTTTTTTTTAAATTTTTTATTTAGTGATTTGAGAGAAAGAGAGAAAGATCAATTTGTTGTTCCACTTATTTATGCATTCATTGGTTGCTTCTTGTATACACCCTGACCAGAGATGGAACCCACAACCTTGGTGTATCAGGACGACACTCTAACTAGCTGAGCTACCTGACCAGGCTGGTAATCTCCCCTTTAAACTAAGAGACAGAGCAGATTTCCAGCAGGCAATGCATTAAAACTTTTTTTTTTATTGTATTTACTTTTTACAGTTACCTTTTATTTATAGTGAATATCAGTTTTCCATTTACAGAAGCAATATAAAGATTTTCCTTTAAATAAAAGTATTTAACCAAAAATGTGAATTGTAATAAAAAACAAAGATGTTACACACAGATCATTAAAAAATATATATATAACACAAATGACCAAGGCTTGAGAAATGTAACCCTCCCAAGAACTCTGCAGAGTGGAAACTGACTTTCAGAGAAGTTCCCTAGTTTACCCAGGACACACAGCAAAGGTCTAGGCACCAAGTGGGGTCTGACAGTTGGGCAGGACACAAGAGCCCCCTGGCCCAGAACACTGGCAGGAGGCGGGAAGTGAGACTGCAGGGAAATTAAGCTACTCCATGGTAAGAATTCAAGACTCAGGCAACTTCCGGAAAGGGGAGTTTATTTTGGACAGAAGGGAAACAGGGATCCTGAGTGAAGCCCAGTAGCCCCTCAGCAGCAGGAGTCATTGGATCAGGAGCCAGGGCTCGACTCCTCCAGCCTTCCCCAGCGCCTGCTTCCAGGGGCCTCCCGCCCTCCCTGAGTTTAAATGTCCAAGACGGAGAGAAATCTGATTGGCCAATGCGGGCCCAGCTTCCCTGATTGGACAGAGCTTGTTCTAGCTCACCTCATAGGTTGCTGGTTAGCCTATGGGTGGGCTTGTGTCAAGCATCCAATCAGCTGCAAGCAGGGCCTATAAATACAGGCCCTCCCCTCTCCCTCCTCAGGATGGATGCCTTCCCCAGACCCCTAGTCAAGGAAGAAGGTTGTGACAGACATCATAGGTGTGAGGTGGGGTCAGTGCCAGGGGCAGAGGGAAGAGAGGTGGAGGGGTGATGGGGAGCCCTGAGAAGGCGGGAGGGGGAAGACTTCCATGTGAGGGGATGAGCCTCTTGCTGGAGCAGGCATGCAGGAACCTAGTGGGCATGGCTTCGCCTGAGTCCTGATCTCAGAAGGGTCAAGGTGCCCAGGGTGCTCCTGTGAGGGGACGGCACCCCCTGCGAGAAGGCAGCTGGGCACAGGAAGCCCAAGCAACATGGTACCACACAGTTCACGAATTCGTCCGGGGAACACAGTGGGGTCCCAAAGGCGCTGTGTCAAGTGCAGTGAAGGGAGCTGCCCTTCTGGAGATGTGCCAGCCCCTGGGCTACCTCTGCAGTAGATAGTGGAGTAGGAGGGGCCTAGAAGTGGGCACTCTGTGACAGCATCAGGACCCGCCACCAGGAGGGGTTTCTTCACAGCAGCATGCTTGTGACTCTGGGAAGCCACTGAGGAAGGATCCAGTCAATGTCCACTTTGTTGGGGGGTTTCTGTCCATACTTGGGTCATGGTGGTAAAGATGCAATAGCCAAGCTTTTTGAAGTCACAAGAGATCCCAAAGGGAAGTGACAGGGCCTCTTTATCCAGCCACCCTGTGACCCTGAGAACTTGTCCCTCCTGCACTGAATCTCAAGGTTTGGGCACATTAGGGAGGCCGTGTTTCCCTCCAGGGGAAGCTGAACTTGAAGGGTAAGGGGAGTTTGTCACCTAGATGAGAAAGGAGAGGGTACCCCAAGCACAGAGAATGGCATGTGCAAAGGTGGAGGGGGGGGGGCATGAGGGAGCTCCACAGGGCTCAGGAGGATGGTTGAGAGGGTTCCAGAAGGAAATGACCCAACATGGTGCTGGAGGGCAAGGGCCAGCCCAAGAAGTGAGGACCATGGGGAGTCCTGGCAGGGTTTTAAACAAGGACAGCATGGCCATATTTGTGTTTTAGAAAGAGCGCCCTGGCTGCTACATGGGGGGAGTATGAAAGGGGGTGAGACTGGGCAGGAAGCCCAGTAAGGAGGCCAGGGTACAGACCCCTGGAGAGCCACGAGTACTCTCCTCAAGGAGCAGCTACAGGCCGGAGAGGAGCGATGCTTCAGAGGCAAAACCCACGCTACCCCATGATTGATGCTCCCTCCCCCTGCAGTTCCTGACTTGGGCAGTAAGTAGGATCAGGGAGCAGCAACTGAGGTTTGGAAGTGACCAGCCAAGTGTGTAGGGCCTGGTGGGGTCCATCTGGGTGAAGATGTCCATGGGGTAGCTGGACACTGTGTATCTCAGCAGTGGACAAGCCTTGAGGACAGAGAGTCCTCAGCTGGGCCTGGAGCAGCAGTGGACGGCCACCGGACCCCACCCCTGGCCATCTGTCTACACCAAGTGAGTTGGGTCCTGATCTTGAAGCTCTTGGAGGGACAGGTAAGCGTCAGTGTTCAGGGTCAGACAGGAGGTGGGAGCCCTGACCTGGCATTGCCCAGGAGGGCTGGCCCAGGGGAAGGCGGCCCCCTTCCCAGGGCCAGGGCCAGGGCCAGGGCCAGGGCCAGGGCCAGGGCCAGGGCCAGGGCCAGGCACCTCCCCTCCCGCTCCTCCCAGTGCATGCTCCAGGGGTGACTGGAAATCCACCAGGTCAGTGGCTCCAGGGGTAGGAGGCCCCAGGGCCCCAGGGACCCAGTCATTGGGGACTCCTTCCTGCAGGGAGGGGGGCAGCCTCTCATCACAAGCCCCAGTGCCTCCTAGGGCAGTGTTTGGGGGGCTTGGGCCACCGAGCAGATTGGGGGAGAAGAGCAGCAGGTCATCCCTGGGGGGGAAGGTGCAGTAGGCATCATCCTCCCCTGGCGGAGGCGGCAGGGGTGGGAGGAGAGACCCCTCAGGCGCTGCAGGCCCCCCCTCTTCCAGCTCCGCAGCGCAGGGGTCGTAGGTGAAGTACACCTGGCAGGCCTCGATCTCCAGCGCGTCCGGGAGGTGGAAGAAGAAGTAGCCTTGGTTGGTGAAGCAGCTGGTCAGTGAGTGGCCGCTGGTCTCAAGGGAGGGCGAGAGCCCTTTGTCCTGCTGCAGCAGGAGCAGCTGTGTGGCCTTGGTGTCCCTGTCCAGCACCTCCAGCGGGGAGATCTCGGGTGCCGGGCCGCTGGGGCTGAAGGAGGAGGAAGGGAAGGGCGAGGAGAGCCACTTCTGCCAGGAGACAGACCGGTGGAGGGTGAGTGGGATGCCTCCTCCAGATTCTCAGCAACAACTCCTAATTCCTCCTCCAACAAGCCACCCAAGGCTGCCTCCTCGGGGAAGCCCTCCCTGACTCTCCTCCCATACCCCACCCGCCTGCCCACTGGCTTGGGGAACCTTCTGGATCAGCCTGAGGAGGTGCTTGCTTCCCAGCCCCAGCACAGGCCTTCCTGGCTCACTGCAGATGCCCAAGGACTGTGCTGGCCTAATGAGTGACCACTTAGCCAGTACTGTAAGCCTGGCGCTACTGTAGGTACTGAGGTCACAGCAAAGGGCAGAACATCAGTGTCTGGCAGGGACTAGCGGGAGTGTGTGAATCAACCAGCCAATGCTGGTCTCATTCCCTATACTGATAAGCCCTGGCCCTGGTCACACAGCCAGCTGGTAGCAGAGCTGGGGCCCAGGATCCCCACTCACATCACCATGGAAACATCTCTGGTGGGGAGCTAATAGTCCCCCGATTCACTTCTCCCTCCCAGTGTCCTATACCCCCCCAACCCTCCCTCTACAAAGAGAGGAACTTGCCCATCCAAGCACTTCTCAGTTGCTGCAGAGTCCAGAGAGCCCTGGCCAGGAGCAGGGAGATTAGGCTCCAGCCCTGGCTCTCAGTAGCTGTGTGACCCTGGGCAGGTCCCTGCACCTCTCTGAGCCTCAATTCCAGTTAGCTGCATCCCCCCTGCTTCCTTACTGTGGACCCTCAGGGAGCTGTCAAGTAAGAAAACGAAGGTGGAGACAGCTGGCACATGGTACAATGCAGGCTACACAGTGGGGAGCAGTGGGTCCCTCGGGGTGGTGCATTTGAGAACCCCAACAGCTCTCTGTCCTGGGAGCCCTCAGCAGCTGGACCATAGTCCCCAGAGCCCAGAGACCAGGCCTGATGGGCTCCCCCCAACATTCCTGTGCCCAGCACAGGGCCTGGGGGCCCAATCAATATATTTCAGATGAATTAATGGAGAAGTAGAGGAATGTCCTTTTTCTCCCTCCCCAGAGTGAGTTTCTGGAGCTAAGCCGGCTGTTAAACAGACGCACAGACACACACCCCATGTATGTGCACACATGCACACGTCACTCAACAAAATCTGCCCCCTCCTCCAAACCAGAAGTTTGTGTTACAAGAGGAAAATCCAAGAGTGAGAGGCTCTAGGGCGAACTGAGGATGGCAAGGAAGGGTAATCAACGAGAGAAGGAAAGGGCGCAGGGCGGTGGGGTCCACAGAGGGTGGAGGGCAGAGCCAGGCAGCATGCCAGGCACGCAGCCAGGAGAGGCCAGGCCTCCCTGGGCCCCTCGGAGGTGTGTGTGGTCAAAGCCACTTCCTGGGCCTGGGCCTCCATCCACAGTCCCTGAAGCAGAGGCGGGGGCACAGGGACACCTCCTTCACACACTCACACGCTAGCGTGCACCCTCAGGCCCATGGACAGGGCAGTGGGCCTTGTGGCCTTATAGCTGGGGGTCCTGGGATAGAGGAAGAGGAGCAGGCCTCCCACTCAGACGCAGAGGGTGGGGGGCCCACTTGGCCAGCCCTGACGCCCAGCCACCGCGTGTGTCCCCGGGGACTCCGCCACACGCTAGGCTGGGGCAGGTATCTAACAGGAGGATCTCATAGGAAGATGGAGTGGTTTGCAGCATTCTAGGAAGGACCCCATTTTCACCCCAAAACGCCTAGGCCCACAGAATCAGAAAGACTTCGAGCTGGAGGACTGAGAATGCACCTAGTCTGGCCCCCAGCCAGGTCCAGTGCAGGAATCCCTTCAGCCATGGGCAAGACTTGTTTCGACACATAGGCAAGACTTGCTTGCATACCTTTGATGATGGGGAGCTCACTACCTTTGGGTCTGAAGGAGGAATTTTAAGTTGCTACATTCCCCCCACATTGAGAGCACTGTAGGTAAGATATCCCAGTCTTTGGGAGTTTTCCAAAGAATTCCAGCAGGGGGCCTGACTAGCCCTGAGAGAGAACTCCACAGCCAGCTCATGACAGCCCCTCAGCACTCCTCCTGACCTCCCTCCACCCCACCTCATCCCCTCCCCCCCAAATCTAGGGAGCCTGAGGCAGGGGTGGCTGGGTGGTAGAGGCAGCCCACCACATCCCCCTTCCCCCTTGAAGCTTCCTTCCTGAAGTGGGTGTGGACTGGGGGAGGGGAGACTCAACTTTGAATGGTGTTCAGAGTGTCACTACTCTATGGGCTAGTGCTTCTCAAATGAATCTGTGTTCTGTGGCCAGAAGTGACTGGAGGACTGTGAGCGTCTGTGAGAAGTTATGGAGCCTGCCCAGGGGTTCTCTGCAGGAGCAGAGGGCACATGTCTGCACAGAGCAGGTCTGTTCTCTGTCGTGTGGGGAGAACCTGTACCCCACAGAGCCCAGGGAACCAGGAGGAGGGAGTTAGGCCAGAGGCCAGAATGTAGGCCTCCAATCAGGGCTGTGGTGGATGGTGGCTCAGGTTGGGCACTGCCCAAGGGCACCTGGTTTGGGGTAGGGGTAGGGCTGGGGCTGAATTCTAGCCTGTGCTCTGCTTGCCAAGACCTGCTCAGTCAACAGACCGGTGACAGCAATTCTAGCGAGGGCCCCTTGAGCACTGACCGTGGGCCAGGCAATGTTCTCAGGGCCATATACACAGTGACACTATTTCCTCCCCATTTTACAGGTGAGGAAACTGAGGCACAGAGACATTCTGTAACTTGCCCAGGGTCACACAGCCAGGAATGGTGGAGCCAGGATTAAAACCAGGCAGTCTGGCTCAAATGGGAGGTGCCACTTAGACAGAGAACACTGGTGCCAGAGCTGGGGGAAGGGGCCCACGCCCACCTGAGGCTGCTCCTCGCAGTATTTGTCTGCTCTCACACAGAGCAAAACCTGCTACTCCTGCACCACCTCCCTCCCTGTTGGCACCACTACCCACCCGCCCATTGGCCGGCCCATGCCAGCTGCCCTCTTCTGCCCTCCATCTCCAGGCTCCTACCTGGAAATCTCCTCCATGCTCTGAGCTCAGCTGGGAAAAGAACCCCGAGGGGTCTGGGATGTGACACTTCAGAACCTTCTTCAACCTGGACATGGGAGAGGGAGGGAGGGAAGGAGGGTGAGAAGGGAAGGGGCCATGGTGCCCTGCGATCAGCCCACGGCTCTGAGGGCAGAACATGGAGCCACTCTTCATTCAGTCATTCGGTCCATAGTGATCGAATGTCCAGTAAGGGAGGATGTTGTGCTGGGTGCTGGGACAAGGACCGGCCGACACAGCAGGTCCCTGCTCTCAAGGAGCTGACATTCTAATGGGGAGACAGACACAAACCAAGTGTGAAACGTTACCATTCGCACTGTGGAGACAAAGAGCAGTGGGCTAGGGAAGAGAAGGGTGTGGGGTGGGGACCACAGCAGCCAAGGACAGAGATGGCAGGGCAGAGTGGAGCAGGAGGAGGGAGTCAGGCAGAGGCCAGATCATGGGCCTCCTAGTCAGGGCTGTCACGGATGGTGGCTCAGGTTTTCACTGGCCGAGGGCACCTGGTTTGGGGAGAGGTGAGTGGGGCCAAATCCCAATCTGAGTGCTCCGTTATCTATAGGCATCTGTGTTGAAATGTATGCCACAGCCTGGAGAGCCCAGGAAACCTGGCTGCTGCCCACATGCCCAGGCTCAGGTCAGCCCTCTTCCCATCCCCTTCTGGTCTTCAGCCACAACCACATCCCTGCACTCTCAGTTTCTGAAATATTCTCCCCTCCTTCCCAGCCAGGGCCTTTGCACATGCTGTTTTCTCTGCTCCTCCCGTTGCCCACTCGCCCTTAGCTCCTCCTTCCCATTCAAGGGAATCATCACTTCCCCAGGAAGTTTCCCCGGCCACCCGAGCTGGGGTTCCTCTCCCTGTAGTCTGCTTCCAGTGCGCCTGGCACCTTCCTTCCCCATCCTAACGCGGTGTGCCATTATATATGTGTATGCCTGCCAAGTATCTGCCTTCCTCCAAGAAGATGGGACCGCAGGCATATGGCTAGCCCTGGCATCCCCAGCACTCAGTGCCATGCCTGGCATGGAGCTGGGCTCAGTAAGTAAAGGCATAAATGAGTGAATGCCTGGACCCAGACAGAGCCATGATGACCTACACACAACAGCTGGCGTGCACACACACTCGGTCCTGAGAGTATTGCTCCCTGTCGCCTCCCCCCTCCAGGGCTCTCCCTCCCCCACTCCCATTAGGCTGGTTCCGTCTTTGGGGATGGATCACAGGGAGAGGGCAGGTGCTAGGCAGGGCAGACTCCTGGGAGGGTAGAGGGAGCACTGGTGTGTCCGAGCTGGGGGCTCAGCCCAGAATGTGACCTGGTGAGGGGGGGGTGTCAGACGGGAGCATACGGGACAGACAGGGAAGCCAGTGCTCTTACCAGGGCCCAAGGTACCGGCAGCTGGCCAGCAGGTAGACTAACATGACGAAGCCAAAGGCACCGCAGAGGCCCACGACGATATGGCCCAGTGAAGGCGCTGCTCATGGATGGGAAGAGACACAGGGAGAGGGGTTAGAGAAGCACCCCGACTCACCCAGATCACCGCAGCGTCCCCCCTCCCCAATCTCTGCCCCAAGGCCTTCACAGCATCCCAGCAGGACCAGCAGAACTGCTGTGTGCCATGCCTCCGTCACAGCAGCCCTGCCTCGGTATCATGGTACCCACTTCACAGATGAGGAGGCTGAGGCTGGGAGGCGAAAGCAGACCACCCCAACCCTGGAAGAAACTAAGAATTTGAGGTTGCAGGATGGGAACGTGAAAAGAGCCCCTCTGGTCTTCCCACTAACTCACAAGGCTATGAGTCCCTGTTCCCATCTGTAAAATGGGCACAATTATGCCCCTGCTGCCCACACTGCAGGGCCACATCGAGTGAGCTAATGGTGACAGATGAGCACTGTGGCCTCAGCCCCAGGCCTCCTCCACCAGCTGCCCCCAGGGCCACCCCCAGCCACCCCTCCCTGTCCAACTCCATCTTACGTTCACTCCTCGTCATGAAGGCCAGGGGCTGGCTCCAGGGGCTCCAAGTCATGAGGTTGCCTCGGTGGGCCCTGACCCGCACCTGGAACTCATACGGGGTGCCTGGAGATAGCGTCTCCAGGCAGATCCATTGCTGGTTCTGCTTGAGGGTCAGCACGGTGGCCTCCTGGGGTAGAGACAGGACTGTCAGAGCCAAGGGGCCCCCACTGCCCACCTCGCCTCCCATGGCAGGGTTGACCAGGATGCTGAGCAAAGCAGTGCCTTCCTTCCTCCCCTCCAGCCACCCTTCCTCCTCGACACCCCCCATCCTCCCAAAAGGCTCCCTGACTACCCAGTTGCTGGGGCTCAAACCCCAGGGTCACCCTAAACCCCTCCCTCTCACTCATCCCCTCCATCCAAAGCCAGCTGCCAGTCAACTGGTTCCACCTCCAGCACCTGGTTCCACCTCCAGGACCTACTGGGGACCCTTTCCCTTCCCTCCCCTCCTCCCTGCTCCAGGTCTGAGCTCCCACCACCTCTCAGCCTGAGGCGGATCTCCCTGCTTCCCCCCCTTCACTAGCCTGTTCTCCGCATGACCAGAAAGGGGTCCCCCGCAGACCTCTCCCCGCTCCTTCTGCACCCTCTCTTTCATTCCCCCCCCCCC